TTACATAATTATTACAAGTAATTAAGGAAGATCTAAACAAATAAAAGAATTTATCACATTCATGGGATGAAAGGCTGATAATTTTCAAGGTGTCAGTTTCACCCCAATATAGTGGTATAGGAAGCTTAAAAGTGAAAGGATAGCAAGTGATATACCATGCAAATCACAATCAAAATAATGCTCAGGTAGCTATGATATCAGGTAAGGTGGATTTCAGAGCAAATAAATAGCCTGGTAGAAAGGATGGTCTTTCAATAAAGGGTGCTAGGTCAAGTGAATTTATAGGAGGAAAACAAATCATGATTTCCTCTCATGACATACACAAAAATCAATTCCAGGTTTATATACCTATGTGTGACAGATAAATTTAGCTGAAAATACAGAATATCTTATATCTTTGGGATAGCAAAGATTTGAATAGGATACAGAGTACAAACCATAAGAGAAAAATGATAATGATCAGACTTATTTTAAAAAGCAATTTCTGGGGCCAGGCGCGGTGGCTCACGTCTATAATCCCAGCACTTTGGGAGGCCGAGGCGGGTGGATCGCGAGGTCAAGAGATCGAGACCATCTTGGTCAGCAAGGTGAAACCCCGTCTCTACTAAAAAAAATACAAAAATTAGCCGGGCATGGTGGTGCACGCCTGTAGTCCCAGCTACTCGGGAGGCTGAGGCAGGAGAATTGCTTGAACCCAGGAGGCAGAGGTTGTGGTGAGCCAAGATTGTGCCATTGCACTCCAGCCTGGGTAACAATAGCGAAACTCCGTCTCAAAAAAAAAAAAAAAAAAAAAAAAGCAATTTCTGTTCATCAGAAGACAGTGAGTGGACCCGGCGTGGTGACTCAAGCCTGTAATCCAGCACTTTTGGAGGCCAAGGTGGGAGAATTGCCTGAGCTCAGGAGTTCGAGACCAACCTGGGCAACATGGTGAAACCCCGTCTCTACTAAAAATACAAAAAACTAGCTAAGTGTGGCGGCATGTGCCTGTAGTCCCAGCTACTCAGGAGGCTGAGGCAGGAGAATTACTTGAACCTAGAAGGTAGAGGTTGCAGTGAGCTGAGATCACTGCACTCCAGCCAGGCAACAGAACCAGAGCAAGACTCCATCTCCAAAAAAAGAAAACAAAACACAATATAGATGGCTCTCACAAACGTAACGTTGAACAAAAGAAGCCAACATAGCGCCGGGCGCGGTGGCTCAAGCCTGTAATCCCAGCACTTTGGGAGGCTGAGGCGGGTGGATCACGAGGTCAAGAGATCAAGACCATCCTGGTCAACATAGTGAAACCCCGTCTCTACTAAAAATACAAAAAATTAGCTGGGCATGGTGGTATGTGCCTGTAATCCCAGCTACTCAGGAGGCTGAGGCAGGAGAATTGCCCGAGCCCAGGAGGCGGAGGTTGCGGTGAGCCGAGATCACGCCATTGCACTCCAGCCTGGGTAACAAGAGTGAAACTCCGTCTCAAAAAAAAAAAAAAAAAAAAAAAAAAAAAAGAAATCAACATAAAAGAGTATACATTATATAATTCTGCATATATATAAGTTCAAAAACAGACAAAATTGATGTATGGTGGTTACTTAGAGCTACTGACTAAACAGAACCAGGAACTTCTAGGGTACAGGTAATATTTTATTTTTTGGTCTGGGTGCTTATTACATGGGTGTTCCCTCTGTAGTAATTCACTTAAGCTGTATAGTTTTGATTGTATTGTTTGTTTGTTTGGTTGTTTTTGAGACAGACTCTCCCTCCATCACCCAGGCTGGAGTGTAGTAGCACGATCTCGGCTCACTGACACCTCTGCCTCCTGGGTTCAGGCAATTCTCCTGCTTCAGCCTCCTAAGTAGCTGGGGGGATTACAGGTGCCTGCCACCATGCCCAGTGAATTTTTGTATTTTTAATAGATACGGGTTTTCATCATGTCAGCAGGCTGGTCAAACTCCTAACCTCAGGCGATCCATCTGCCTTGGACTCCCCAAATGCTGGGATTACAGGCGTGAGCCATCACGCCCAGCCTCTTTGTTTGATTTTATTATCATGTATACACTTGTCTGTATATATGATAAACTTCAATAAAAAGTTTAATTAGGGAGAAATACACCGTATTACAAGGAAAATGCCAACAAAAAAATCAGAGACCATGATCTTGAGCATGCTAAAGTCTGCAACCCATAATAAATACATAACAATCATTAATATCTGTATATCAACTAATAAAGCAACAACTTTCATAAAGCAAAAGTTACAGGTTATATAAGAAATAAAATTTCATTAATAGAGAATTTTAATACACCTCTCTCAATCCAAGACAAATCAAGTGCAAGACAAAAAGTGACTACAGAATGACCATATATTAGATCATAAATTAAAGTTCATTAAGTTCCAAAAGTAACACAATATAGCAAAACTGTAAATTATATTATCAGTGAAGAGGGGACCTATGTACTTTACTGGAAGTCTTCAACATAATCAATAGATTATGTTGAGGTCTCCTTATGTCACAAGGATCAAGACTCCTCCACAACACTGAGGCCAAGATACTACACCACTGGATAGTATCTTGATAACACAAATCTATTACCCAAGTTGGGTCTTACTAGGTTAAAATCAGGGTGTTGGTAGAGCTGTGTTGCTTTCTGGAAGCTCCAGGGGAGAATTCATTTTCTTCTGTTTCCCAGCTTCTAGAGAAACCAACATTCTTTGGCTCAAGGCCCACTTCCTCTATCTAGCCAGCAAGGTGGCATCTCTCTTACCATTATTCTATGGTCACACCTCCCTCTGACTTTAAACTCAGCCAGGAAAGGTTCACTGACTTTAAGGACCCATGTCATTATATTGGGTCCAACAAGATAATCGCTCCCATTTCAAGGTTCTTAAACTTAATCCCCTTTGCAAAGTCCCTTTTGCCATATAAGGGTAACATAGTCACAGGTTCCAGGGATTAGGAAGTGAGTATTTGTTGCAGGGCCATCATTCTGCCTATCTCGACCACCTTTATGGCTTCTATCTTAAGCTTCCCTCTTTTTGAGAGATACTCGATGAAGGAAATAATGTATACAGTGGTCCATTTCCAAGACAAAGTGCCTTGAATCAGCTTGAGTAAGCCAACTACAGAAGAAACAGGGTAAACTAGGCACCTGCTTGGATAGCTGATGCCTGCTTGTCAGCCTCCCACTTCCTGGCCTTTTCTCACCTTACTTGCCTTCACCCAAGCCAAAGAAGTTTAGCATAAGATGAAATTTTGCTAGCCTGAAAAATAGCTCATTTTGTCTGTTCTTATCAGCCTGCCCAGCTACTTAGGTCATAAGTCAAATTCTTAACAAGCCCCTGAGCTAACTAGGATTGCAATGCATTGTGGACTGCAACAAAATGCAGCAAGACAACCCTAAAAAAAAAACACCTGAAGATCCTACCCAACAATCAATAGGTGACGTCAGGGAAGACTGACCCCATAGTACTCAGCCTATGAAAAATCAGGGGAGGAACCTGTGCACTCCCCTGGATTCTCATAGGCTGAGTTTTATTTATGTCATAGGGGATAAATTGCTTGTTGAAATTGTGCTGTGTGTGCCTGCCTATCAGACACACGATCTTGCAAGACCATCATTAAAAGTCTCATTTTTGCTGTTCTCTGGGTCTCTGAGTCCATTTTTTGGGTTTGAATGGGTAAGGCTCTTTCTCACACTCAAGAAATCATCTTTCATTATCCCAATGCTATCTCTCCAAAACTGACTTGAATCTAACCAGAATAAGTGTCATTCCAACCTTGCATTTACATTTATCTACCGTAAGAAGCCCCAGAACTTCTAGTCAACTGCCTGTTTTCAGACACTGTACTCCATCAAGTCCCATTTGTGCCCTTTTCTCATTCTTCCCCAAGTCTCAACACTCTTCCTGTATGCCCTCATAATGGAATTCATAATTCATTAACCAACTCCTCTTTTATCGTCAACCACTTCCTTGAACGCGCCCTTCACGTTCGGAGTCTAACAGAAACCAGACTCTATCCAGAGGACTCTGCAGCCCTCTCAACATTTCCCCGGCTACAGTCTCTTACCAGTAGGCCTGAAAATGGAACAAATGGTTGGCCTCCTTGTTGTTTATTACCTTCAGATCTTTCTTCCTCTCGTCCTCCACAAACTCTAGTTTTGAATTTCGTGCCATGAGATTACATATAAACTCACCACATCTCACTTTTGTTGATCTCTACCAAACACAGACTATTTTCCCTCTGTCTCTGAAATCTTAAGCTCATGGTTTGCTCTCTGCAGCACTATTACCCTTAAAAAAAAAAATTCTTGCATTTTAACCACATCCACACAGATGAGCCTGGTTTACTTACTCTTGGCTGGACTTTTCCCCTCTCTCACGGCTCATTCCCAACAGCATGTTGATTGGTTGCTATTCCTCAGCCCTCTACCCCCACCTGCTGCTACATTTCTCTGTCCTAATTTACAGAGAAACTATTGAAATATGTTGTCTACACTGTCTCCCATTCTTCTCCCCTCCTTCTAGATTGCCCACTCGAATCCAGCTACCAGCCAGTACAGAAACTGCTCCCCATACATTCACTAAGGACTATGCCTGTCACTCAACGCAACGCTCAATTCTTTGTTTTCGGACCCATAGCGGAGGCTATCACCACCTTTACGCAGGTGGTCACGCACAACGTGAGATGCAGTCATAATCAAGTACATACAGTCATATTTAAATAGTCCATTATGGTCACACACAGCGCCCGTCACCATCGCGTGCGCGTACACGCGTACACACACACACACACACACACACGCACACCCCAGAAGCTCCCCTTGCGGTCACCCTCACGCCCCGCTCCTGCATCACTTTCACTCACGCCCCGACGGCTCCCACTGCGATCGCTCGCCCCGACGCTCCCTCGCAGGCAAAGCCACCGACTCCAAAGACGTTAGCCCCTCACTCCCCTCAGCCCCGGCCTCGGGCCCTCCGGAGTCATTCGGCTTCAGTGTCTGAGAGTCACTCACCCAGTCCTGCCGTCCCTTGATGGTGAAAGGTTCCCCTATTTCCCTATCATCGCGAAAGGGGCAGAGCGCTGACAGGAAGTTGCCCTGGAAACGGTGCACTCTGGGAAATGTAGTCCGGAGCCTGGGCCGCCTTTAACAGTCCGAGATATCCTGGTCTCCATTAACCGGCCCTGAACTTGAGCCCCATCACCTGGCTAGGCAAAGACCATCGCCCACACACCGCTCACATTTGCTATAGAGAGCTTCCGAGCATTCCAGGCCGCGTTTAGCACGCTTCAGCGGAGGCCTGTAGGCTGCCCTACCTCTGCAAACCTGCTCCCAGCCCTGGGGATAGGACAGTAAGCCCAGGCCATCTTAGGCTGGAAGTAGCGTTGGCCCCGACGGCCCCTGGGAAATGTAGTCCAGAACCTGGAACGCTGTCGAAATGCCCCGCCGGGATGGTGCGATTGTTTTCAGCAGTTCACGGTGTGGGCCTCTGACCCAAGTGGCGTTGCGGGAAAGTCCTACAAGACTGTGCCAAGAGAATGACGAGTCTGCCCCGTCTCTGCCTGAGCCTCGGTACGGCTGGGTGGATACCTCTTATCCCACAAGAACCAGCCTGGGGTAGAACGTAAGGGAAATGGTCCAAGGGACCCAATTACATGCCCAGCCCTACAGGGGTCCCCTGCCGAGGAATCCATGAGAACTCTTCCTAATACTTTATTCCCATCCTCCAATCGTCCTTAAAGTGTTTGTTTTCAATTAATGTTTATAGTCACATTAGCATTGTTTTGTAAATTCTATTCATTCCATTCTTTTGGCTGAAGTACACACTTGCTAGCTTTTTTCATTTGCTTCTCTTTTAGATATACATTATTTAGATCTACATCTAAACTTCCTGAGAGAGGAGTAATTTTTTTCAGTACTTTCAAATTTATCAGGTAATCAAAATAGTTTTTTCTTTTTTTAAATTGTGAAACAAAATACTCGAAGTGCATAAAATGTGTAAGTTCAGTAAAACGCCACACAAATGTTGGTATCTCGAGAACAAATGCTCATTCTATGGGATAATTTCTTTTTCTTTCTTTTTTTTCTTTTTTGATACAGGGTCTGGCTCTGCCACCCAGGCTGGAGTGCAGTGGCACAGTCTAGGCTCGCTGCAACCTTCACCTTCCTGGCTGAAGTGATCCTCCCGTCTCAGCCTCCAGAATAGCTGGGACTACAGGTGTGTGGCATCACACCCAGCTAATTTTTGTAGAGATGGGATCTCACCATGTTGCCCAGGCTGGTCTCGAACTCCTGGGCTCAAATAGTCCTCCTACCTAGGCCTCACAAAATGCTGGGATCACAGGCAGGAGTCATTGCACCCAGCCTGTGTGATCATTTCTGATAACCAGCCCCAGCTCACCTTCAGGTTAATATCTTGACTCTTTAATAGTTTCAGTCTCTCTTTGAAATATATATAAATACAATCAAATTGTAGAAATTTTCTGTCTTGATTAGGATAATACTAATTTTTTTAAGTTCTAGAAGTACTTTCTGTTTGTTTTGGTTTTTGGTTTTTTTTTTAAGAGACGGGCTCTTGCTACGTTGCCCAGCCTGGGGTGTAGTGACTATTCACAGGCGTGATCCCACTATTGATCAGCATGGGAGTTTTGATATGCTCCATTTCTGACCTGGGCTGGTTCACCCCTCCTTAGGCAACCTGGTATGTATAATTGAAGTCCCAAAAGAAAAAGAGAGAGAGCATGGAGAAGAATCATATTTGAAGAGATATGGTAAGGGATTTCCCCAAACTGATTAAACAAAGCAACCATAGGTTCAAGAAGTTCACCAAAACTCTGAGGAAAAAAAAAAAAATAACCTAGAATTCTATAGTTAGCAAAAATCTCCTTCAAAAAAGAAAGGAAAAAAAAGACATTTCAGACAGACCATGAGACTCCATTGCCATCAGCACGCCAGTAAAAGAAATACTAACTGGAATTTTTCAAGAGCAAGATCTCAGATGAAACAAAAAGAAAGGTAGGGTGGGCACAGAGGCTCAGAGCAGTAATCCCAGCACTTTGGGAGGCCTAGGTGGAGGTTCCTTTGCATCCAGGAGTTCAAGACCAGCCTGGGCAATATAGCAAAACCTCATCTCAACAGAAAATCAAAAATTAGTCAGGTGTGGTGGCACACATCTGTGGTCCCAGCTACTGAGGAGGTTGAGGTGGGAGGCTCTCTTGAGCCTGGGAGGTCGCAGCTGCGGTGAACCATGATCATGCCACTGTACTCCATCTAGGTAGCAAAGTCCCTGTTTCCAAAAAAGGAAAAGAAAGAAATTTAGTAGGGAAGGAATAGCGATAGAAAGAGTAAATATGTGAATTAATATAAATGAATATTGACTGCACAAAGTAATATATTGCCCTCTGGGGTTTTGAATGTATGCAGAATTATATAACAAAAATAAAGGAAAAATGAGGATGGAGGTAAATGGAGTTAAAGTGTCCCACTAAACTGAAAACTCTTAGGTGAGTGAGAAATAAACCTGTCCTTTAAGTTAGAATCTTTAGGGGGCTACTTGTGTATTCCTTCCCTAGGGCTGTCATAACAAATTACCACAAACTTGGTGGCTTAAAACAACCAAATTATGTAAGAATTTTATTTTCTTACAGATCTAGAGGCCAGAAGGCCAAAATCCAGATATCAGCAGGGCTGTATTTTTCCTGAAAGCCCTAGGGGAGAATCCTTGCTTGCCTCTTCCAGCTTCTGATGGCTCCAGGTGTCCCTTGGCTTATGGCTGCATAACTCCAATCTCTGTCTCTGTCTTCAGAACTGTGGGTTCTGAAATTTTTTTCAGTACTTTCAAATTTATCAGGTAATTAAAATAGTTTTTTCTTTTTTTAAATTGTGAAACAAAATACTCGAAGTGCATAAAATGTGTAAGTTCAGTAAAATGCCACACAAATGTTGGTATCTCAAGAACAAATGCTCATTCTTTGGGATAATTTCTTTTTCTTTTTTTTTTTTTCTTTTTTGATACAGGGTCTGGCTCTGCCACCCAGGCTGGAGTGCAGTGGTGTGATCTCAGCTCACTGCAACCTCCACCCCTTGGGTTCAAGTGATTCTCCTGCCTCAGCCTCCCAAGTAGCTGGGATTACAGGCACATACCATGACACCGGTTAATTTTGTATTTTTAGTAGAGGTGGAGTTTTGCCATGTTGGCTAGGATGGTCTTGATCTACCCACCTCGGGCTCCCAAAGTGCTGGGCTTACAGGGTTTTTTTGCGGGGAGGGTTAGAGAGTATGCAGTTCAGGCTGGTTTCAAACTCCTGGCTCAAGTGAACCCCTGGCCTCAGCCTTCCAAAGTGCTGGGATCACAGGCATGAACCACCGTGACTGGCCTTTTCCGCCATTGTTAAAAGCTTCAGGGTTATATTTTACATCAGCATTTCCTGTTGTCATATACTTCCTGCCATCATACTTCAGCAACCTCTACCACTTCCGAAAGTTTTTAGTTTAAAAAATTATTCAGGCCGGGCGCGGTGGCTCAAGCCTGTAATCCCAGCACTTTGGGAGGCCGAGGCGGGTGTATCACGAGGTCAAGAGATCGAGACCATCCCGGTCAACATGGTGAAACCCTGTCTCTACTAAAAATACAAAAAATTAGCTGGGCATGGTGGCACGTGCCTGTAATCCCAGCTACTCAGGAGGCTGAGGCAGGAGAATTGCCTGAACCCAGGAGGCGGAGGTTGCGGTGAGCTGAGATTGCGCCATTGCACTCCAGCCTGGGTAACAAGAGCGAAACTCCGTCTCAAAAAAAAAAAAAAAAAAAAAAATTATTCATTTCCTGCTAGCTCCCCTTTCTGTCAGCTTAATTTTATATTTGTATTCAAATGAATCATCACGTTGATTTAAAAAAATTTAAACAAGATTATAGTGAAAAAGAAGTTTCCCTTTCACTATTTATCTTCCCCATATGCATCTATTATGACGGGTTTCTTTTTAAAACTACTTTGAGTACTCATAACTGATTTTGTATTCTAGTTCAGAAGAAATGTCTGAATGTTAAACGTTTACATAAAAATGCTATGTTATTGTATCAGTTATGTAGCTTCCCCCCTTTAAAACTGATGCTCCAGGAAGACAAAGAGAAAATGGGACTTGGAGATTCAGATTCCTCCACAGTCACAGTATCAGCTACCAATGCAGGTGATTACACACACTTATACACAGATTTAGCTGATTACACACACTTATACACAGATTCGTACACGATGTTGCCTCTCACCTGCACACACTCAATATGACCTCTCCATCCCCAAAGCTGCACACACCTTGACCTCACCTCTCTCTCATACACAATCCTATCTTACCCGCACTCGGTTTCTTTCACTCAACTACCCAGACACTCCTCATCCCAGCAGCACAAGGAGTCCCACTGCGGTCTCACATACACTCCTTTACCCAGTCTCACATGCATGGCTGGGATCGCGGATTTGTCCCCTTCAGACTCCTACTCCTGGTTCGGTCTCAGACGCTCAGGTCCCACATTGGGGCGCGCTCTCCCGGGTCCTCCATACCCTCCACAGCTGCCCGCCTCAAGAGCGTCTGCGTGCTTCCAACGTTAAGCGGAATTCCGAGCAGCCTCCGGGGAACAGTTAGTTTGGTCACTGCGGCCAGACTCCCGCCTCAGGACCCAGGGGACTCAGCCCACTTTGGCGGGACTCATCCAGTCCCCGGCGAGGCTTGGACTACGTTTCCCAGGAGACCCTGCGGCCCAGCTTGTCTCCCCGGGAAGGGGCGGAAACCTGGGAGCCACCCTCTGAGGCTGGGCGGGGTGAAAGAAAAGTTGCACCAGATGACTTAAACAGGCAAGAAGGACTTGGTTGAAGACTATTGCAATAGTCAACTTCCAATACGATAGCAGCTGGAGATTTATAGCCAACGGGCTGGGTGGACGAGTTAAAGGATGGTAAATTACTAAGAGGAAGTTCAGTATCAAGGGTGGGGGGATTCTTGCTGAACTGGCTTAGCTGGATTCTTGCCGAAGTGGGGTTCGCAGGTCATGGAGGAGGCCTGGCCAAACAAAAAGGGCTCAGAGGAGCCTTACTAAAGCTTGATCTAGGGAGTCCTTGTCAGGAGAGACTCCTGGAAGGCTCTGATGGGAGGCTTAGCTTAAAGTGATACTTTTGTTGGTGCCAGGGTCCGCGCCACGGGAATCAGGATGGCCGGGCAGTACCTTTCGGCAACCTGTCGCTCCTACACTTCCCAGAAGCCTCTAGGCCCATGGCTGTCTCCCGCGATAACGAAATTGTCTTTTGCGGAGTGGGCGGGGTCTTCCCGCGGGTCTGAGCGAACGGCCTCCGGTCTTTGTGAGAGAACTGGGGTCAGGTTGTTTGGATTCCAGTGGAGCGGAGCTGACCCGCCCCGAGCAGGCGTAAGTGAGGTGGCTCGGATCCTGGCGCGACAGGAACCCCGGCTCTGTGTGGGCTGCGTGGGGAGCAGACTAAGGAGCGATTGTGAAGAGTGTGTACGGTTGTGACTGGATGTCTCTGGGGTGGGCGTGTGTCTGTGCGACCCGGTGTGCAACTGTGAGGGAGGGGAGGAGGACTTTTTATGTTTGTGGGGGTGTGATTGGAGTTTAATTGTGACTGGGTTGGGCACCGTGTTTGCGAGTGTGCGGTTCCTGGACCGCGGTAGTGACTGTGTGTTCCCTTGGGGGTGTGTGTGTTTATTACCATTTGCCGAACTGTGTGCAGTATGCCTTAACTATAAGGTTTGTGGCTGCTTCCGTGTGTGTGTGTGTGTGTGTGTGTGTGTGCGCGCGCGCATGTTAGTGATATTCTTGATGTAGGGTGCGTGTGAATTTGTTGTCATTGTGACCCCAACGTGTATGTCACTGGGAGTTTGAGAGATGCCCACGGACTCTGGTTGTGTCCCTGTCTGCCCCCGTGGTTGTGTGTGTGAGAGAGAGAGAGAGAGAGACCGTGTGCAGCCTGTTGTGTTTAGGTTTGGGGTGCCTGTGACATTTATGTCCCCATGGTGTGTGAGTGAATGAGTTTGTGTGACTATGTGTCCGTATAGCCAACGTGGGTATGGGGAGTCTTTGTCTCTCTTTGTGACTTCAGCCACTGGAGACCTCTTTGAGCTCAGAAACAGATTCTGCCCAGAACGGCACTGACCCTGCTATTGTCTGGGATACCTGGATTGAGCAGGACGCTCTACACTTCTCTGACCTTCCTCTGTAGGTGGCGGGCAGTAGGGGCTGAGCCAAGATAACTTCTGACATAGTCAAACTGGCTCCCTCTCAGAAGAACCTCATGTTTCCTGACTCCCTTCTCCTTTCTCAGCTCTGCCCTGCTTGGATAGAGGCCTCCGGAGAAGAGTAAAGAATGGCTATTGAACATCCACAAGGCACCTGCAAGGTAGCTTGTCCTTTCCTCTTGTTTCCTGAAGTCACATTTTCCTGGTTAGGACATAGTTGCTTTCCTTTTCTTGAAAATTCTTGCCTGTCAGATGACCTGATCCCTGGAGTTTCCATATTGAGAAAATGTGATGTCTTCAAACTCCACCTCCCACACCTAATTTTATCTTACTAAATTGTCAGTTTTAATTTTTCCTTACTTGTTTTTTGAAACGGAGTCTGGCTCTGTTGCCCCGGCTGTAATGCAGTGGTGTGATCTCAGCTCACTACAGCCTCACCTCCCTGAATCAAGCAATTGTTGCATCTCAGCCTCCCAAGTAGCTGGAATAATAGATGTGTGCCACCAAGCCTGGCTAATTTTTGTATTTTTGGTAGAGATGGGGCTTTAACATGTTACGCAGACTGGTCTCACACCCCTGGGCTCAATCCATCCACCTGCCTCCGCCTCCCACAGTGCTGGGATTACAGATGTGAGCCACTGCACTTGGCTTTAATTTTTCCTTATGCTACTTTTTAAAAAATATTTCTTTCTGATTGTATAAGTAAAACATGATTATTTTAACTTAATTTAAAAAGTACAGAAATCCCGAATGAAATTTATATTTTAGCTACGCACATAAAACATAATTGAATTCATGTTGCATTTGTCATTTTATATCCTACATTTTCTTTTTATTTTTTTTAAGATGGGGTTTCGAGTAAAAAATAAAAAATAAAAAAAATACCACTCCCACTGCTTCATTTGACTAGCCTTAAAAAATAAATAAATATAAACAAATAAATAAATAAATAAAGACGGGGTTTCACCATGTTGGTCAGGCTGGTCTTGAACTCCCGATCTCAGGTGATCTGCCCAGCTTGGCCTCCAAAGTGCTTGGATTACAGGCGTGAGACACTGCACCTGACCTATCCTACATTTTCATTTAAAATTAAGTATTTTCCCACGTAGTATATTTGGAAAATATTTTTAGAGATGCATAACGTTTACTTGAATGCCTATGGCTTTTTCCTTCTTCAAATTTGATACAGAAATGGGACCCGCTTGTGCAGCTTAACAAGTAATTATAAAGACCCACGTAAAGGGTACCCAGATCAATAAATAGAATACAGCCATCACTGAAGAAGCCTCTGCTGTACTTCTCCACAGTCAAAAACAACATTGTGCTCTTGTGATGATAATCACCGTGGCCGTTTCTTTGCCTTTCATTAGAGCTTTAGTACATATGGATGAATCCTAGAGCCACATAAGTGTAGATTTTGTTTGTTTCTAACTTTGTTTGAATAGACATTCTTTTGTTTCTTTTTTTCACAAAAGACTACATAAAAGTGACACAGTTTTCTTTTTCGTTTTGAGATGGAGTCTGGCTCTGTTACCCAGGCTGGAATGCAGTGATGCAATCTCGGCTCACTGCAGCCTCCACCTCCTGGATTCAAATGATTCTCCTGCCTAAGCCTTTCAAGTGGCTGCGATTACAGGTGCATGCCACCAGGCCCAGCTAATTTGTGTAGTTTTAGTACAGAGAAGGTTTCACCATATTGGCCAGATTGGTCTCGAACTCCTGACTTCTGGTGATCCATCTGCTTCTGCCTCCCACAGGGTAGTGAAAAATGAAACGTGGTAAGGGAGAAGAGTAAAAGATACCATACAAAGAAGGCTTGATTATACCAGATGTCATTAACATAAAAATATTAGAAAATATCTATATTTATATCTAAGTCTATATCTAATTTTCACATCCCCCACTTCCAAAAATGTATTTGAGGAGGCCAAGAATAAAAGAAAATGATGTCTCTCTCTGTCTCTACACACACACACACACACACACACACACACACACACAACACACATTTTATTTGTACCATTTAAGACTAAGTTGCAGATATTTTTCCCCTTTATTTCCTAACAATGAGTATTCTCTTACATAACCACAGTACAGTTATTAAAATTTAACATTTATAGCCGGGCGCGGTGGCTCAAGCCTGTAATCCCAGCACTTTGGGAGGCCGAGGTGGGTGGATCATGAGGTCGAGAGTTCAAGACCATCCTGGTCGACATGGTGAAACCCCGTCTCTACTAAAAATACAAAAAATCAGCTGGGCATGGTGGCGTGTGCCTGTAATCCCAGCTACTCAGGAGGCTGAGGCAGGAGAATTGCCTGAACCCAGGAGGCAGAGGTTGCAGTGAGCTGAGATCGCGCCATTGCACTCCAGCCTGGGTAACAAGAGCGAAACTCCGTCTCCAAAAAAAAAAAAATTAACATTTATATGATATCTAACCTATATTTAAAATTTTCACTCATCCCAATGATGTTCCTTTTAACAAACCACCCTGTCCTCTCTCCTCATCTATCCAGGATCCACTTTAAAGTCACACATTAAATTTATTCATTATGTCTCTTTAGTCTGCTTTAATCTAGAAGAGTAGCTCTCCCTTTGTCTTTCATGATCTTAGCATTGCTGAAGAGGAGAAGCCAGTTATTTTGTAAAAAGTCCCTTAAGCTGGGTTTGTCTTATGGTTTTTCATGCTTGCATTCAGGTTATGAATTTTGTGGCAGGAATACCATAAAGGTAATATTGTATCCTTCTTGATGCATCATCTCAGGAGATATATAATGCTGACTTGTTCCATATCTGAAGATGTTAACTGTGATAATTTGTTAGGGGATATCTACCATGTTTCTCCACTGTAATATTGGTAGTTGTCTATTTGTAATTAATAGATAATTTGTGATCTGCTTTGTAACTGTGTAAATAACTGGTCGCCAAACTTTTCCCCACTAGTTTAAAATCCATTCATTGATAATTATTCTTGGATCTGTTATTAATATGAGGTAATAGTAATAATGGGAGGGGGTTTTTTGGTTTGTGACTCACTGAATGACAGTAATCTCTGTAAAGGGCTAGGACTAAGATGAGCAAGTGAGACAGTGAGAAGCACTCACTGCCAGATGTAACTACAGTTGCATGACCCCGAGACGGAATGCCTCAAATTTTGCACCCTGGGTTCTTCATTCCTTTTTTTTTTTTTTTTTTTTTTCTGAGACGGAGTTTCGCTCTTGTTACCCAGGCTGGAGTGCAATGGCGCGATCTCGGCTCACCGCAACCTCCGCCTCCTGGGTTCAGGCAATTCTCCTGCCTCAGCCTCCTGAGTAGCTCGGATTACAGGCATGTGCCACCATGCCCAGCTAATTTTTTTGTATTTTTAGTAGAGACGGGGTTTCACCATATTGACCAGGATGGTCTCGATCTCTTGACCTCGTGATCCACCCGCCTCGGCCTCCCAAAGTGCTGGGATTACAGGCTTGAGCCACCGCGCCCGGCCGGGTTCTTCATTCTTAAGACAATCATCATCAGGGTTATAAGTGCAGGGTTGGCAATCTGAGAGTGAACACCTCAAGTTTTGTGCCATAAGTACTTCACTTAAACCTTAGCTGTGTCCTGTTCCTGCTGTGATGCTGCACCTGTGGAAGTTGCTGGAAATCTGCCCTCTAGCGTTTGCCAGGAATCCATCCTTTGTGGCCGACTGGGTTGTCTTACCAGAAGCATTTGTTACAAAACTTTCAGACAAGGCTATCAGGTGCAGCTGGCCACCTTGTACTTTCAGAGCTGGGAGCTAGAGAAGCTGCTTGTCTGAAGAAGCCTGGTAAAGTTAGTCATGCTTCAGGAGCTGGGTGCTGGGGAGATTCAATGTGCTGCTGGAGGTAGACCTGGATGCTGGAGCCACCTGCTAGGCAAGCACACCAGAACCAGAAAGGAATTCCCCTGGGATTACAGGTGCTGCACCACCAAGCCCAGCTAAGTTTTTGTATTTTTTAGTAGAGGCAGAGTTTCACCATGTTGGCCAGGCTGGTATTGAAATCCAGATTTAAGTGATCCACCCACCTCAGCCTTTTGAAGTTCTGGGATTACAGGCGTGAGCCACCACACCTGGTTCATGTTGAATAGTTTATATGTATCTTGTTTATTTACACTACTATTTCATAACCTTTGTGACTATATCATAGTGTATTTTGTCTGACATATTTTTTATGTGGATAATTGGCAGTTTCCAGCATGTTACTCTTAACAAAACTGTTATGAACATTCTAGTGGATGTTTTACCTACGAGTGGAATTGCTGGGTAATAGGGAATATGCATGTTAGCCTAGATAATGCCAAACTCTTTCAAAGTGGTTGTATGAAAAAGTGGTCTACTTCCAACGGCGTATGTTTACTGCTGCCTTTGCCAAGTTTTTGCCACATCTTTACCTACATTTGGAATAGTCACACTTTTTACCTACCTAGTATACTTAGTAACATCTCAGGGCTGGGCACGGTGGCTCAAGCCTGTAATCCCAGCACTTTGGGAGGCCGAGGCGGGTGGATCACGAGGTCAAGAGATCGAGACCATCCTGGTCAACATGGTGAAACCCCGTCTCTACTAAAAGATACAAAAAATTAGCTGGGCATGGTGGCACGTGCCTGTAATCCCAGCTACTCAGGAGGCTGAGGCAGGAGAATTGCCTGAACCCAGGAGGCGGAGGTTGCGGTGAGCCGAGATCGCGCCATTGCACTCCAGCCTGGGTAACAAGAGCGAAACTCCGTCTCAAAAAAAAAAAAAAAAAAAAAAAAATCTCATTATGGTGTTAATTTGCATGACCATGACCACTAATGAAACAGAACATCTTTTCATTTGCATCATCTTTTGTCTCCTTTTTTTGTTTCAAGATTTGTTCATTTAGGCAAAATTCACATGAGATACAATTAACCATTTTAAAGTGGTATTTAGTATAAATTCAGTGGTATTTGCTGTATTCATAGTATTGTGCAACTATGGTTTTCTCTAGCTTTAAACCTTTATCATCTGCCTATAGAAACACTGTGGACCCATTTGAAGAACAAACTTTTAACTTGGATGAATTTAAATTGATGTGTAATTTTCTTTGCTTGCTTGTGCTTTTAGTGTCAAATCTAAGAATTAACTGCCAAATCTGAGGTCATTAAGATTTAGAAATCCTGGTCAATCTGCACTGCAGTTCCATACAGATTTTGGGTACCCACTGTAGTTCCATATGGATTTGAGGAGTAAGTTTTCATTTCAAAGGCCACTGAAGTGTTAATAGAGATTGCATTGAATCTGCAGATTATTTTAGTGAGTATTGACATCTTCATGTTAAGTCTTCAGTCCGTGAACATGAGGTTTTAATATGTTTCATCTCCAACTGATGTACTGCAATTCAATTCTGGTCCTGCTACCCAGCATCGGTGTTAGACTCCATAGGTTTTAGCATATAGTCCCCAGTAAATCTGCCCTTACTTTAGGCCAACTAGCTACAATTCCAGGTTCTCTTGACTCCCTCCCACTCCACTCTTGATTTAGTAATTCACTACAACTCACAGAATTCAGGAAAGCACTATACTTAAAATTACAGTTTTATTATGAAAGATAAGGATACAAATTAGGAACAGCTTAGTAATGAGACACAGAGCAAGGTCTGGAAGGGATCTGTACACAGTTTCTGTGTTCGTTCCCTGTGAAAGCAGGGTGTGTCACCAGGGAAGCTCCACTGAACTTTGGGATGGAATTTCATTATGTAGGCATGATTGATTAATCATTGGCCACATGATTGAACCCAGTCTCCAGCCCCCCTTTCTTCCTCAGAGATTGGGCTAGCTAAAAGTATTTTTGATGACTGCCCCAATTTCAAAGCTGCTCAAGGGTCCACCATGAGTTACCTCATTAGCCTAAACTCAGGTGTGATCCACAACAAAGACATATCTAGCTCTGTGCTAGGAACCATAGGACAAAGATCTGACAAATTATCACACAGGTGTAAACAAAAGCAGGAGTGAAAATGGCGATGTCTCCCTATTTATTTAGCGGTTTTTTCTCTCTTGGGCCATTTAGCTTTTTATTTATTTTTTATTTTTTTATTTTTTGAGATGGAGTTTCGCTCTTGTTCCCCAGGCTGGAGTGCAATGGCTCAATCTCGGCTCACTGCAACCTCCGCCTCCTGGGTTCAGGCAATTCTCCTGCCTCAGCCTCCTGAGTAGCTGGGATTACAGGCACGCGCCACCATGCCCAGCTAATTTTTTGTATTTTTAGTAGAGACGGGGTTTTACCATGTTGACCAGGATGGTTTCGATCTCTCGACTTTGTGATCCACCTGCCTTGGCCTCCCAAAGTGCTGGGATTACAGGCATGAGCCACCATGCCCGGCCTAGCTTTTTATTAATGATTTGGGAAAGATCTTATATTTTACATGCTAGTTCTTTGACAGTTAAATATTTTGTAAATATCATCGCCCATTCTGTGCCTTGTGTCTTTTTAACAGATTTTATTCATAACTGAGCTGTGAATCATGCTTATATTGTTACACGACTTTGTTTTCCATGTAATTAAAATTACCTTTTTGTCCATATATTTATTACTAATTTATATTCAAAATCTACTGGAAAATAAATCTTTTTCCAGTATGTTCTGTCAGTTCCTTGGGCTTTGGGCTTAGAGACATCTCTTGTATGATCCTTTTTGTTCTCTGCTGATTGCTTGTACCACCATTACTCTAGAATTCTTTCTTTTTAAATTCACTGCCCTTCTGTGCCGAGTTGTTTCTTGGACTCCTTGCCTTCCTGTTTCTTGGTGTGCTTCTTCTTTATATTGGTGGCATATGAGAAAGGATGAATGAGAGTTAAATTTTGTGAGTCCTAGTATATTTTTCAACCACTATATTGATTCTTCGGCAGGGCACAGAATTCTACATTGAAAATATTTTACCTCAGAATTTTAAAGTTAAGATTTCTGTCTTATAGTATTGTTTAGAACTCCAAAGCCATTTTTATTCCTGGTCTTTGGTTTATACCATCTTTGTATTTTGGAGCCTTTTAGGGTATTTTCTTTGTTCCCACTGTCCAAGAACCTAATCAAAATATATCAAATGTGAATCATTTTTATTTTTTATGCTACATACCAAGTGGACTCATTAAATGTGGAAACTGATGTCTTTTAAGTCTGGGAAGTTTCCCTTAATGCTTACTTTTTAGAACAATCTGTATTTTCTGTTTTCTTTGAAAATTTTCAAACATAGAGAAAAAAGAATATTCCAGTGAATTCTGAATGTCCATTTTCTTCCTCTGTTTGGGCCACTGTAACAAAATACCATAAAGTAAGTATGTTAAAAACAAAAGAAACTTATTTTTCACAGTTGTGGAGGCTGGAAAGGACATGATCAAAATGTTGGCAGACTCAGTGTCTGGTAAGGACCTGCTTTCTGCTTCATAGATGGCACCTTCTCTCTTTGAAAAGGGAAAGGCAGCCCCCCGGGGCCCTCTTTTACAAGAGTACTAATTACATTCATGGGGGCTCTGCCTCAAGAGCTAATCACCTCCCAAAGGCCCCACCTCCTTTCACCATTACATTGATAACTAAAGTTCAACATTTGATTTGGGGGTTGGGAGGACACAAACATTCAGACCTTATCAACCATCACCCAGATTCTTTGGTTGTTGCCATTTTGCCATATTTCCTTTATCATTATTAATATACACACATACACTTTTTCTTGACTCATTTAAAAATAGGTTGGGGACATCTTAACATTTTACCATTAATAATATTAACGTTTATATCCTCAGTATTAATGATATATCTCCAACTTAAGGAAATTAAGATGGACTTACTAATATTCTCAAGCATTTTATGTTTAGATAGCTCTAGTAGTTTGCAGACTGTCTTTATTTAGCTGCTATTGTATTTGTTTGTTTGTTTTACCTGGGTGTGTGTTTGCCTTATCTAGGGTCCCGTCAAGATTCATTATACATTGGTTTTGGTCATTGGAGCTCTAGTCTCTTTTAAGCTGGAGCAGTCTCTCATTTTTTGTTCTAGATGACATTGAATTTTTTTAAGAATCCAGGACAATTATTTTATAGAATGTTGCTGGGGTCCATCCCACAGACCCCAGCTTCATGACAGATGAGTAAGTGCACTCAGACTCAAATTTCCAGTGAACGAGTAGGCCAGGGGTCATGAGCTACTTACAGAGAGAGATCAAAGCTGCACAACTCTGACTACTTTGCCCTCTCCACATTTATTCAGTATAGATATAATAACAGAGGCTCTAAGTTAACACACTTGTAGAGGAAGAGTAAAGACCAGGTTCCAAACCCAAAGCAAACACCATTAGAGGGTAATCTCCCTGGTCGAACTCCTCCCCAAGAGAGCCATCCAGCTCAAAGGGTTAGTTTTAAGGCCACATGAGTAAACAAGTTAGATAAACTCCCACATTCCTTTTACTCTAATTTATTTAAGTAAGGGGATAAGGCTGCCTTCAGCCAAGAACTATAGAAAAAAACCTTAGGCCTTCCAAAAGGGTTGGAGATTATATTTTATAACTTTTTCTAATACTTTTCCCTTAATATTTTTGCCACCACCCTGAGTGAATCCCCACAGAATGTCCCATAACCTTTATTTGTCTCATGGCTTTCTTATGTATAGGAAGCTTAGATTCAGGTTAAATATTTTTGGCAAGCATACCACATAGGTGATACGATGGTACATCTTTTATTGTATTACATTGGGAAGCACATATGTCAGGTTGCTCCACTACTGTTGATGCCAAGTTCTATAGGTTGGGTGTTTGTCCCCTCCAAATCTTAGGTTGAAATTTTTCCAATATTGGAAGTGGGGCCTAATGGCAGGTGTTTCAGTTTTAGGGGTGGGTCCCTGATGAATAGATTAATACCCTCCCTGGGAGGCAATGGGTGATTGAGTTCCTGCTCTTACTAGTTCCCACAACAGCTGGTTGTTAAAAAGAATTTAGCAACTCCCCTGGCCCTCTCTTTTGCTTACTCTCTCTCCACGTAATCTCTGCACATCCTTGTTCCCTTTCACCTTCTACTAGTGGAAGCAGCCTAAAACCTTCATCAGAAGATGTTGGTGTCATGTGTCTTGTATAGTCTGCAGAACTGTGAGCCAAATAAACCTCTTTTCTTTACCAGTTACCGCCCTTAGATGTGCCTTCCTAGCAACACAAATAGACTTAGACATCAAGTTTTACCACTTAAGGTGGTGAGTACCAAATCTTTCTCATATAAAGGTATGTATTTTCCCTTTATAATTAATAAATAATCTGTGAGTGATACTGTGAGATCAAGTGAATATCCTTTTTCCCAGTACAATTCATTATCTGATTTTAGAATCCACTGGGGATTCTTGCCTGAATCTGTTATTCTGATGATTTTTAAATGATGATTCTCAGGTTCCTTCATTTCTTCTAGCACACTTTGTAGATTCTTAGCAAACTTCTAAAAATGATTTTGTCTCAGTAGATGTTGGACTTTGTTGCTTGACCTCTTATATTTTCATATTTTTGTATCTTTTTATATGTTTTTAAAAGAGATTTTATTTATGTTTGAATGATTTGCTTTTATTCCCACTTTATATTTTCATTTTCTAGGAATACTTTTTGTCACTTAGTAATTCTTCTATGTTATTCTATTCTTGTATCATGTGAATAGCTTCTCACACCCCTATGAGAATACACATGGTGACTTCTGAGGTTTTGTTGGTTCCCCAATGTAGTCTCTCTTCTGAGTTCCTTTGGTTACTTTATTTACTGTCTTTTATCTTACAGGCGTTTCTCAAATATCTAATATTTGCCTATTTTTTGTTTCTGTTGTTTTTGTATATATTTAAGGTGTTTTATATATATTTATGGTTTTGATACACATTATGAAATGGTTACTGTAGTCAAGCAAATTAACATGTTCATCATCTCACAGTTACACCTTTTGTGTGTATGTGGCAAGAACATCAAAAATCTGCTCTTACTAAAAAACTCAACTACAATACAATGACATTAACTATAGCCCTCATGTTGTACATTGGATCTCTAGACTTATTTTCTACATGTCTGAAACTTTGTATCCTTTGACCTGCACCTCCCCATTTTTTCCCTGACAGTCCCTGGTAACTACCATTTTGTATGCTATTTCTATACTTTTTCTGTTAACATTCTATATATAAGTGAGATCATTTAGTATTTGTCTTCCCATGTCTCCCTTATTTCACATAGCATAATGTCCTCCAGTTTCATGTCTGTTGTGGCAAATGGCAGGATCTCTTTCATTTTCAATGGTGGATAGTATTCATTTATATATGTCAAATTCTTCATCTGTTCATCCATCAGTAGACACATAGGTTATTTTCATGTCTTGTGAATATTGCTTTGAACATGGGGAGGCACATATCTTCATGAGGTGGTGATCTATTTGTAATTCAGTGGACCCTAAGAAGCTGTATGCTAAATTTTATGTGTTGATTGTTAGACTTTTATAGGTAGGTAGTTCCCTCCACTTCTTAAGTTTTTCTGGGGTTCTGCAGCATAAATCAAACTTTTTTACACAAAAATGTGTAATATGTGTGCCTTTTCCTTAATTTTAGTTAAGGCTATATCGTTTTTGGTTTTTCATCATTTATCTTACACTTTCAACTTAAAATGTTGGCCGGGCGTGGTGGCTCCTGCCTGTTATTCCTGCACTTTGGAAGGCTGAGGCAGGTGGATCATGTGAGGTCTGGAGTTCAAGGCCAGCCTGGCCAACATGGTAAAACCCCATCTCTACTAAAAATACAAAAAGCAGCCAACTGTGATGGTCGGTGCCTGTAGTCCCAGCTACTTGGGAGGCTGAGGCAGAAGAATCACTTGAACCCAGGAGGCAGAGGTTGCAGTGAGCTGAGATTGCAGCATTGCACTCCAGCCTGGGTGACAAGAGTGAAACTCTGTCTCAAAAAAAAAAAAAAAAAAAAAAAAAACTTAAAATGATTTCCTTTTATGTGGTGGGACTGTTCCTTTTTACAAAGTCCTTTCCATTCCTTTTAGTGAGGTTTAGTGAGGGCACAGGGATAAATGCACATGATTCACTTGCCCTTTTTCAGAGAAATCTTGTTTTTAGATGCTTATTTGTAAGGATAATACATTTTGAAAATAGTTTATTATATTAGCTATTCAGTAAATGCATTTAGTGTTTTCCTTTTTTTTTTTTTTTTGTTTGCATGTACCAGAGTTCAAGTTGATTAAATTAACAGACGTTATCCTTGTCTTCAGGAATCTTGGCTCTATTGTAGCAGACAGAGATTAAACAAGCATTCAAACAAATATGAACATTTTAACTGTACAGAATGGATATGTAAATTACCCATTATCAAAACAAAACACAAAAAGGGAAAAAGTGCTCTGAGAAATGATGGTGGAGTGTGCATAATTAAGACTGAACATGCAGGAAATATTTTAAAGATACATCATTTAGCAGAGACCTAAACCATTGCTGGAAATTTGCAAGGCCAAGAGTAGGGGCAGTGGATATAGGGGGACATTTCAGGCAGATGAAATCATGATGGCGGTGGGTGGGTACAGTTTTGTGCATTTAAAGAACTATGAGGGCCACTGTAGCTAAAGCATATTGTTGGGGTGGGGGTGCCAAGAGGAATATAAGGTTTAAGAGACAGGTGGATCACTGAGGAACTTTTTTTTTTTTTTTTTTTTGAGACGGAGTTTCACTTTTGTTACCTGGGCTGGAGTGCAATGGCACCGTCTTGGCTCACCACAACCTCCGCCTCCTGGGTTCAGGCGATTCTCCTGCCTCAGCTTCCTGAGTAGCTGGGATTACAGGCACGCGCCACCATGCCCAGCTAATTTTTGTATTTTTAGTAGAGACGAGGTTTCACCATGTTGACCAAGATAGTCTCTATCTCCTGACCTCGTGATCCACCCGCCTTGGCCTCCCAAAGTGCTGGGATTACAGGCTTGAGCCACCGCGCCTGGCACTGAGGAACTTTTAAGAGCAAGTTCATTTTGAGAAAAACAGTTCCAGGCTTAATATCACTCTGGGTGCTAAGGGTCCAAAACTGGAAATGCAAGCAGCTAGAAGAAATGCTGCTTTAGTGTCCAAGCAAAAGATAATTCTGATTTGGATTAGCCAGTTGGAGATGGGAAGAACAATTTCAAGACATATTTAGACTTGCTTTAAACAGGATTGTTATGTGAGTTGTAGAAAGAGATTGATGCTGGAATGTTTTCACCTTTTGGGGTTTGAGGTATTCACTCAGGGCCTTAGATAGTATCTTTAAATCCATTCCCTTTCCTAGTCTCTACTTTTATGGCAAACAAATCTCCCAAAATAATATGCAATGGACAGGTACTTTATGCAAGTATATAAGTAGATTAGGTGTGATCAAAGATGAGGTTCAGGATATTTATGTATCTTCATCTTTCTTGCAATCTTGTAGTATCAGATTGACACCTGTCTTGTCTTCCCTTTCCTCTTATGTTAAAACTAGATTCTGTTACTCTGCTATAGCCCTGAGTTCCTTCTTCTCCCAATGCCATCATAGAATTTGGAGGCACACTTATTTTTAATTAAATGGCATAAACAAACCACATTGTAATCAAAGATGAATCTTCCCTTTCGATAGCTCATTCCATACCCATTTATTCCATACTCATTTAGCACATTAGTCTTTCATTTGGAAACTGCTCTTTGTGGATTATCTTTCTTTTTTGTCTCCATCAGTTTATATGCCAATTATGTTTATTACTGAATCATCCCAGATTTTCCACCCCAGGAAAAATGTAGTACTCCAACCAACCCTGACAAATGAATATGAGAATTACCCTCATTTATCAATGTTCATAACACTAGATTCATTTCTTAAGAAATTAAGACAGGGCCACGACATCTATATGATTACTAAACTTTCAGAGTTTGCAGGGAACTTTTATCTAAACTATGATTTAGAAATAATTAATCTGTTTCCTGAATACCTCCTTCACTTTCTAGTATGACTTTTACTCATTTTCTTTGCTTTTCTAATCTGTTTTGCAAATTGCCCAGTCATATGTGAGAACTGTATAAGCCACTCAATTTTTATGAAAATTAAATTGTAGTTAAGTCTTTCCTATCTATTATAAACATTAAATCTCTCCCAGAACATAAAAAAATAAATGTTTGCTTTTATATTTTCTTTCAGACTGTGAATCAAGGTTGAGACCAAGAAATTATTTCTGAAAATGGATATTTATGGAATAGAATCATCCTGATGGGAGATAATGGAAAAACTTACAAAACACAGCATTGAGTGTTCAAGTTTCAGAGGTGACTGGGAATGTAAAAGCCAGTTTGAGAGAAAACAGGGATCTCAGGAAGGACATTTCAGTGAAATGATATTTACTCCTGAAGACATGCCCACTTTCAGTATCCAGCATCAGAGAATTCATACAGATGAGAAACTCCTTGAATGTAAGGAATGTGGGAAGGATTTTAGTTTTGTATCAGTCCTTATTCGACATCAGCGAATTCATACTGGTGAGAAACCTTATGAATGCAAAGAATGTGGCAAGGCGTTTGGTAGTGGTGCAAACCTTGCTTACCATCAAAGAATTCATACTGGTGAGAAGCCTTTTGAATGTAAAGAATGCGGAAAGGCCTTTGGTAGTGGCTCAAACCTTACTCACCATCAGAGAATTCATACTGGTGAGAAACCCTATGAATGTAAGGAATGTGGGAAAGCCTTTAGTTTTGGATCAGGCCTTATTCGTCATCAGATCATTCACAGTGGTGAAAAGCCTTATGAGTGTAAGGAATGTGGGAAGTCCTTTAGTTTTGAATCAGCCCTTACTCGGCATTACAGAATTCACACAGGTGAGAAACCTTATGAATGTATAGATTGCGGGAAAGCCTTTGGCAGTGGTTCAAACCTTACTCAACATCGGCGGATTCATACTGGTGAGAAACCTTATGAATGCAAAGGATGTGGAATGGCCTTTAGCAGTGGTTCAGCCCTTACTCGGCACCAGAGAATTCATACCGGTGAGAAACCATATATATGTAATGAATGTGGAAAGGCCTTTAGTTTTGGATCAGCCCTTACTCGACATCAAAGAATTCATACTGGCGAGAAACCTTATGTATGTAAGGAATGTGGGAAGGCTTTTAATAGTGGCTCAGATCTCACTCAACATCAGCGAATTCACACTGGTGAGAAACCCTATGAGTGTAAGGAGTGTGAGAAAGCCTTTAGAAGTGGTTCAAAGCTTATTCAGCATCAAAGAATGCATACTGGTGAGAAACCTTATGAATGTAAGGAATGTGGGAAGACGTTTAGTAGTGGTTCAGACCTTACTCAGCATCACAGAATTCATACTGGTGAGAAACCCTATGAATGTAAGGAATGTGGGAAGGCTTTTGGTAGTGGCTCAAAACTTATCCAACACCAGCTAATCCATACTGGTGAAAGACCCTATGAATGTAAAGAATGTGGAAAGTCCTTTAGCAGTAGCTCAGCTCTTAATCGGCACCAGAGAATACACACCAGTGAGAAACCCTATGAATGTAGGGAGTGTAGGAAGGCTTTTTGTAGTGGCTCAAGCCTTACTCAGCATCAAAGAATTCATACAGGTGAGAAACCTTATGAATGTAAGAACTGTGGGAAGGCTTATGGGAGGGGTTCAGAGTTTCAGCAACATAAGAAAAGTCATAATGGTATGAAACTCTGTGAATTGGAAACTATAAATTGAAATTATGTGATAAAAGGACTCTAAACATATGACATAAGAAAATTCATAGTGGTGAAAAGCTCTACAAAGAGAACTAAGGTACAAATGCCTTACTTATGCTTCACAGGTTCGTCAGTCTAAGAAAATTTATACAGGAAAAAAAAAAAAACCCCGAATAAAATAAATATTTGAAGATCCTTATCTATATTCATTCCTTCATTACTTTTGGAAAATTCATATTTGTGAATGTTAAAATTGAAAAAAAAAGCATTTATTTTATTTTGCCTATTTTTTAAACATTGGAAAACTCATTTCTGGGTTAACCCTGCTATACTTTTTAAATGGTCTTTTTTTATTATATAGAATTACTGATTCATCTCAAAATTATTTATTGCAAGTCTAAATATATCACTTTTTCTTCTCTGATTATCGTCTTTACACAATTTATTCAATAATGTCCATTTTCATATTTTTTTATTGACTATTTGATGGTAAGTTACATTTTTATTCACATTAAGCTTGGAGATCAGGTTAGTGTTTGTTTTTTAAATTTACATATTTGTATCTATGGCTCACCCTGTTTATGGTAAATAACTGTTACTTTTAAGTATCCTTTAATTTAATATCTAATGAACCTGTACCTTTTATTTTAGAAGACTGTTTTACTTTCCTTTTATAAAATTATACTCTCCACTTTGCAAAACAGCTTTCCCTCATCATAATGTAGATAAGAAGAAAAAAAAAGCATATGGTTACCTGTAATCTTGCCAATCACAGATAGCCACTGTCAAACTTTTGGAGCAAATCCTTTAATGCTATCGCTCTCATTGTTTTGGAAACAAGGTATGATTGGAAACAAGGTATGATTATGCTATACTATAACTAGCCCTTATATTTTTTGTCTGTAAATATGTTGTTACTGTTTTATTCGCTTTATAGTATTCACCTGTCTTTTTCAAACCCGAATTTTGTCAAATATTAAAAATTTTCCCACTACAAACACTTACCTTGATGGCCCCTTTTCAGTGTGTCTGCATTATTTATTTATTAATCACTTCAGAGATAATGTGTCAATATAAAAGATTTTTACATTACAGATAAAGCTGGCCTTTCCTTTGAGCAGCATTCCTGGCCTCAGCTCCTTTCCAATGTTAACCAATTTACTTAATCTTCCAGATCCTTTTATGTACATCTATAACATACCTATGGTAATGTGGGTAGAATCAGAATACCTTAGAGCCTTATTGTATGGATTCTATTAATTGTGCCTATCACATAATAAGTGCTTAGTGAATGTTACCTATCACCATTGTCTTCTCAAGCTTCATTTTTATTATTTATAGGAAAACTTTTAGCCATGACCCATATCTTAACTCTACAACAAAGACCTCACAATGGAGAGAGACATTCATTTAAATAAGTGTAGGGAAAATTTGACTGACACTCATTCCTTGTTGAATAAGAATATTTGCTGCTAGGCACAGTGGCTAACACCTATAATTTCAGCACTTTGGGAGGCCAAGGTGAGTGGATCACTTGAGGCCAGAAGCCTAGCCAACATGGTGAAACCGCCTCTCTTAAAAATACAAAAATCAGCCAGGCATGGTGGTGTGTGCCTGTAGTCCCAGCTACTTGGGAGGCTCAGGCACAGTGTTTGCCTGAACCTGGGAGGTGGAGGTTGCAATGAACCAAGATCATACCATTGAACTCTAACCTGGGTGACAGAGCAAGACTCTGTCTCAAAAAAAAAATAATAATAATTTCTCCTACAGAAAAATGTAAGACTATTAAGTGTGAGAGACAAATACACTATAAAATTTGTGCCAGGGTAGAAATAAAAGGCTATGGCAGTTTTCTCCATTGAAATCCAAATACTAATTCAGTATTCTGCATGATTCTTTCCTGAAAAATAAAATCCAGGCAGGCACAGTATCTCATGCCTGCAATCCCCAGTCTGAGACCAGCTTGGGTGACACAGCAAATCCCTGTCTCTACAGAAAATGTTTTAAAAACAATGAGCCAGGCATGGTGACCTCCAGCTACTCAGGAGGCTGAGGTGGGAGGATCAGTTGAGCCAGGAATTGAAGGCTACAGTGCGCTTTTATTGTGCCACTCCACTGCAGCCTGGACAACAGAATGAGATCCTGTCTCTAAAAATAAATGAGTAAATTAGTTAAAATCAAAAGAAATTATTTTTTAAAATAAATGGTGCTGAGTAGACTACATAAGCCATAAGGATCTGTTATATACAGAAGAAATTTTACAGCTCTAAATTCATTCATTAGAATATTAGAGAAATTATAAATAAAGAATCCAAGCATATAACCCAATAAAAGAATAACTACAACAAAAACTCTAAGGATAATGGGAGGGAAACAATTTTAGAAGAAAAGCTAGATCAATAGTCACAACCTGCTGTTTTGAAAAAAAATAGTAGCAGTTCTAATAAATAAACATATAGGAACATAAATGCAAGAACATTACTCTAGAGACTTTATGGATTACAGGTTGAGTGTCCTTAATTTGAAAATGCAAACTCTGAAATGCTCCAAAATCCCAAACTTTTTGAACCCAATGTGATGCTCAAAGGAAATTTCAGACTTTTGAATTAAGGATGCTCATCTGGCAAGTATAATGCAAATATTCCCAAAACACTTCTGGTCCCAAGCACTCTGGATAAGGGATACTCAGCTTATATTTATTACTATTGCATGTAATCTTTTAATTATTTTGGGCTGGGCACAGTGTCTTATGCCTCTAATCCCAGCACTTTGGGAGGCTGAGGTGGGCGGATCACAAGGTCAAAAGATTGAGACCATCCTGGCCAACATGTTGAAACCCCATCTCTACTAAAAATTAAAAAAAAAAATTTAGCTGGGCATGGTGGCGCGTGCTTGTAGTCCCAGCTACTCGGGAGGCTGAGGCAGGAGAATTACTTGAACCCGGGAGGTGGAGGTTGCGGTGAGTGGAGGTCAAGCCACTGCACTCGAGCCTGGCACCCAGTGACAGAGCAAGACTGTCTCAAAAAAAAATCATTATTTTGAATATTAAAATGAACATTTTAAAAAAGGCTTTTAATCACCAGAACTGACTGCAAGTGGCATAGAAATGGGTATTATATAAGGGATATAAAGCAAAAACTGTATCTATATTGGCTGGGGAAAACCCCTGTGGCAAAAGTCTCTCTTAAAGATACAGGTTGATGATTTGGAGTTTTTTATTTTAATTAAATCCTGTTTATCAATCTTTTTCTATACAAAGAACTTTGAGTCTCAAATGTTTGTGTGTGTTTCATGCCTACAAACTCATGGAGATATTCTCTTTCTTCTCCTAGACGCTTTATTTCACCTCTCACAACTCGTTTGGGTGTACAATATGAGGTTTAGCGGGTCAAGTTTAATTGTTGATATTCCTACAGATATCCAAGTTAATCCAGCATTATTTATTGAAAAGTAAATTCTTTTCCCCAGATTATATTCCATTTCTACACGCCTCTTGTCACCTTTCCTGATGCCATCCTGAACCTAACCATGGCTATATGTTACTTAGATGTTTACAACTTCCTAATTTGTCTCTCTGTTTTTGTAGCCTTCTGGGCATTCACAACAGCATAGCCACAGTGATTCGGATGATAGCACTTCTATGCTCAGTTTCTTGAAAATTTGAGCGAAAAATAAAGTAGCATCAGATTATAACCCAAAGTATAAAATAAATATCCATGCATTCATACTAATATGTTACTATGAGATAAATAACTATATAAATGGAGAAGAGACCAATCTCCAGTGCAGAATTCCAAATAATTTATGTAGATATTCTGCCTTCAGAGAAGTAGAGCATAACCCCCGGCTCCTTAAGTACGTGCTGTAAATAGTGACTTCCAAAGAGTACTGTATGGGAAAGGGGGGAAAAGGGTAACTTTACACTGGAGAAACTTGACAAACACTCTCTCACTCAGGTGATCAAGACCAACAAAAACAGCAATCATGTTTATAGTATAAATCCTTGATATCTATGAGGAAAATGTCACTTTACCTCTGTAAATCCTCATGTAATCATGAGAAAAACATGGGCGTGGTGATGACCACCCGTAATGCCGACGACTCAGGAGGCTGGGGCAGGAGATTCACTTGAACCCAGGAGGTGGAGGTTGCAGTGAGCCCAGACTGTGCCATTGCACTCCAGCCTAAGAAGAGCAAAACTCCGTCTCAAAAAAACAAAAAAAAGAGGAAGAAACTGTCACAGCTAACAGTAACCTAAGGAGAAATGATGACTAACTGCAGTGTGCTCTCCTGCTTAGAATGCTGGAACAGAAAAAGGAAGAAAAGCTTAAAACCTAAGAACAGCTGGAATAAAGTGTAAGCTTTAGCTAATAGTAATGTACAATTCTTGTTCATTAATTGTAACAAATGTATCATACAATGTAAGATGGTTTTAGTAGTAGAAGAAACTAGGTGTAGGGTATATGGGAATTTTCTGGATTACTTTTCTAACTGTTCTGTAAATCTGAAACTGTTCTAAAATAAATGGTTTATTTTAAAATAGAATGGAGTATTCAAATTATTTCTAAGTAGTCATTCCTGTGTATCCACAGAGCCAGGTTTATCATAATTTGAGTAAAGATATTACATGCAATCATTTACATCTATGATATTAGATCCATGTTTTAAGACAGGAACACACACAGAGCCCAGACCACTGTTTCCTGATATGTTAGGGTAAAACTCAGATTTGAGACTCAGAATTATTTTGGTCCTCTTCAACATTTTATTCCATCTAATTGCACAACTCTACTTGTTGGGTCCCTGAACTCTAGAGCCAGTAACAGCGATCCTAAAGTAATTCTCATGATTTTGTCTAAGATACAATTTAAATTCTCAGATGACTCTAAATCTGCAGAAATATTAATAGAGAAAAAGTAATAGGGTTATGTGTATAGGAAAAACTGTAAATTTTACTACCTGTAAAAAAGATTTCTGCTTATTAAAAAATCAAAAGACAGGCCGGGCATGGTGGCTCACGCCTGTAATCCCAGCACTTTGGGTGAAATCCCATCTCTAAATATATATTTATTTATATAAAGATGCTAAAAGATTAGGAAAATTTACGGAAACAACAAATGACAAACACTAACCTTAATATGTAACATATAAAGAAATATATTTCTTAAGTATATAAATTTGTAATCAGTAAAGATGATCAATAACGTGGAGAAACAAGCATTTATAGTAGCATAAACATGCCTTTTAAACATGTGAACAAATGATCAGTTTCTCTTATAACACAGAAATGGAAATGAAATTATAATGAAAATTGTTCTCCTGTCTTGTTTGAACAAGTCTGATAAAACATTTATTGGTATGCGTATTCCTAGAAAGATGTTTCCTGTTATATCTCCCAACACATACAGTGTTACTACCACAATATAGTGTGAAAGCACCAAGGCAAAAACCCTTAACCTCTTTGTCCTGAAGACATCTGTCTCTGCAATATCATATACTCTCAGGTCATTCCTCAACCCAGGGCTCTAACTGCAATAAAATTTATATACCCATTTTCTGTTCCCACCTACCAGACCAAATCCTTGTGTTCTACTCTACTCTGTACTCTGAAATCCATAGTAACTTATGAGCATAATGCCTTCACGTTTTAAGGAAGCGTTCTTAATTTGTCTTTTATTGTTTAGCTTCTAATTTTTTTGAAAAAATTATAGGATTAGGAAGTTACAAGGACAGTTGTGTTACATACATACATAGTGTAGTAGGGAAAGTGTTAGCTTATAATGTACACCCATTACCTGAATAATGTACATTGTACTCAATAGGAAGTATTTTTTCTTTTGAGATGGAATCTCCTGTTGTCCCCTAGCTGGAGTGCAATGGCACAATGCTAGCTCACTGCAACCTCTACCTCCCACATTCAAGCAATTCTCCTGCCTCAGCTTCCTGAGTAGCTGGGACTATGGGCACCTGCCACCATGCCCAGACAATTTTTGTATTTTTAGTAGAGACAGGGTTTTACCATGTTGGCCAAGCTCAAATTCCTGACCTTTGGTGATCAGCCCGCCTGAGGTCAGCTGTAAATCTGTCTGGTCCAGGGTTTTTTGTTGTGAGATTTTTTTCCTACTACAGATTCAGTTTCAATACTCATTAGTAGTCTGTTGAGGATTTCTGTTTCTCCCTGGTTCAATCTTGGAAGATTGTATGTTTCCAGGAATTTATCGACTTCCTCTAGGTTTTCTAATTTGTGCATATAGTCTCTCCTGATTTTTTCATATATCTGTGGTTATCAGTTATAATGTCACCTTATCATGTCTGATTCTATTTATTTGAACCTTCTTTTTTTCTTGGTTAATCTAGCTAGTGGTCTATCAGTTTTGTTTATCTTTTCAAAGAACCAACTTCTTTTCTTTTATATTCTTTTGTTCTTAGTCTCATCTTTGCCTGCTTTGGTATTTGTTATTTCTTTCCTTCTGCCAGCTTTAGGTTGGGTTTATTTTTTTCCTTGAGATGTGATGTTAGGTTATTCATTTGAGATTTTTCTATCTTTTGGGTGTAGGCATCTAATGCTATCAAATCCTCTTTTAGCACTGCTTTTGCTATGTCTCAGATATTTTGGAGTATTGTCTCTATTTCGATTTATTTCAAAAAATTTTAAATTTCTACCTTAGTTTCATCATTGACCCAACAATCATTCAGGAGCAAGCTGTTTAAATTCCATGTATCTGTATAGTTTTGAGAGTTCCTCTTGGTATTGATATCTAGGTTTTATTCCACTATGGTCAGAGAAGACATTAGATATGATTTGTTTTTTTTTTAAATAACAGAATTTCTCCATTGATTTCTGTCCCAGTGATCTGTCTACTGCTGTTCACGGAGTGTTGAAGTTCCCTGCTATTGTTGTATTGCTCTCTATCTCTTTTCTTAAGTCTAGTAGTATCTGTATTATGGATCTGGGTGTTACATTGTTGGATGCATATATATTTAGGATTGTTTTATCTTCTTGTTGAATTTATCCTTTATCATTATAAATGATCTTCTTTGTCCATTTTAATTTGTGTTGGTTTAAAGCCTGTTTTGGCCATCACAGTGGCTCACGCCTGTAATCCCAACACCTTGGGAGGCTGAGGCAGGCAGATCATTGAGGTCAGGAGTTCAAGACCAGCCAGGGCAACATGGTGAAACCCTGTCTCTAATTAAAAAAAAAAAAAAAAATTAACTGGGCATGATGGTGCATGCCTGTAAATCCCAGCCACTTGGAAGAACAGACATGAGCTGGAGGTTGTAGTGAGCTGAGATTGCGCAACTGCACTTCAGCCTGGACAGAGTGATACTCTGTCTCAAAAAAAAAAATTAAAATATAAAATATGTATATTTGACTAACAACTTACATGTAAAAGGAAATTATAAATATATTAGACAAAATAGTGCTAACAGGTTATTATGAGTTGAACTGTGTCCCCTAAAAGGAGATGCTGAAGTCCTACGCCCTGGTACCTGTAAATATGACCTTATTTGGAAATAAGTCTTGACAGATGTAATCATGTTAAAATGAGGTCACCAGGTAACCCCAATCTAATCTGACTGGTGTCAAAATAAGAGACATATACAGGGAGAATGCAATGTGAAAATGGAAGCAGAGATTAGAATGAGGTATGCAAAAGCCAAGGAATGCCAAGGACTGCCAGCTGTTAACAGGTTAGGAGAAAGGCATAGAATGGTTAGGAGAAAGGCATAGAACAGATCCTCACTCAGAGTCCTCATAAGGAACCAAAACTGTCAGCACCCTTGATTTTAGATTCCCAGGCTCCAAACTGTAAGAGAATAAATTTCTCTCGTTTTAAGCCACCAAGTTTTTGGTACTTGGTACTTTGTTATGGTATCCTTTAAAAACTAATACATAGGAATTAGCTGGGCATGGTGGTGCGTGCCTGTAATCCCAGCTACTTGGGAGGCTGAGGCAGGAGAATTGCCTGAACCCAGGAGGCGGAGGTTGCGGTGAGCCGAAATCGCGCCATTGCACTCCAGCCTGGGTAACAAGAGTCAAACTCTGTCTCAAAAAAAAAAACAACTAATACATAGGAGAACCTTTGATAATGTGTACCCACACTTGTTCTCATTACCTGTTTTAAAAAATCTTATTATAAAGGTTAACAAAAGGGTCTTTAGTTTCTATCATTCAACCAGTATGAATTCCTTCATGGCGAATGAGGTCGGAGCGACTACCAAAAGCTTTCCCACATTCCTTACAGTCATAGGGTTTCTCACCAGTGTGAATTCTCTGATGTCTAGTAAGGTTTGAGCCTTTATTAAAGGCCTTCCCACATTTATTACATTCATATGGTTTTTCATCTGTATGGATTCTCTGATGCTGAATAAGTTCTGAACTCTGAATAAATGCCTTTCTACATTCTTCACATTCATAGAGCTTCTTACCAGCATGAATTCTGTGATGGTTAGTAAGTGTTGAGGCACTATTAAAGGCCTTCCCACACTGCTTACATTCATAAGGTTTCTCACCAGTATGCATTCTCCGATGCTGGATAAGCCTTGAGTGTTGAGTAAAGGCTTTCCCACATTCTTTACATTCATAAGGCTTCTCACCAGTATGCATTCTCAGATGTAGAAAAAGTTGTGAACTTTTAGTAAAGGCTTTTCCACATACGTTACATTCATAGGGTTTCTCACCAGTGTGAATTCTTTGATGATCCTTAAGGTTTGAGCAATAATTAAAAGCTTTTCCACATTCCTTACATTCATAGGGTTTCTCACCACTGTGAATCCTCTGATGTTGAGAAAAATATGAACTACAACTAAAAGCCTTGCCACATTCCTTACATTCATAGGGTTTTTTACCAGTGTGAATCCTCTCATGTCGAGTAACAAGTGAGCCATAACTAATGGACTTCCCACACTCCTTATATTCACAGGGTTTTTCACCCGAATGAATTCTCTGATGTTGAATAAATTGTGAGTTCTGATTAAAGGTCTTTCCACATATCTTACATTCCCATTGTTTCTCTTCACTCATAGTTTTTTGAGGTGGAGTAAGAAATGTGGACTGAATGAAAGGAGTCATGTCTTCATGGGTAAGCATTATTTGACTGAAATGTCTCTTCTTTAGAGATAGTATCTTGGTCTCACACATTGATTTTAGATCTGAAAGAAAATAAAAAGGCAAATAAATTTTCCTATTCTGGGCAAGTTAACATTTCTAAAAAAGAAATAGGAGGATTAAGCTGAAAAGAATATCTGGGAAATTAACACACTTCGTTTTCAAAGGTGGCTAGGGAATCTGTAAAACTGACAAGAAAAGCACAGACATTAGGAAGGCAATAAAAGAAGCTGAGGATGTGGATTCAGGAAGTAGATGACTTCTATGAGCCTTCAATGCTGTTCTGAACCAGAGTCACCTTAACCCTTGGCGAATACACACTGTTCAGCATCATCCTCCATATTATAGAGAGATTCTAATTTCTTTTGATATGTTTCTTTGCCTGCAGGTGCTGCCTGAGACCCACCTTTGCGTCTCCTCATCATACAGAGTGGAGCTCTGACTGCAAGGCCATCAGCATGGCCAGGCAGGGGTTCAGCTGGAGGGTAATGGAGGAGACAGGCCAGTAGGATGCTGCCTCTGCTCCAGGGCAGAGAGATTATAATTATATATACATGTGTATAAATACATACTCACATACACAGAGCACAATACTGTTATGTTTTGCAATTTGTAGATAATTGTCAGACCTACATAAAAGGGCTATTAAGAATAATAAATGTGTTGATAGCTTTAAATGGCAGGGTGGGTGGAGTTCAGTGACTGTGCAAGGGTATACTGGCAAATCACTAGCCTCCAACAAATCTAGTATGCTGAACACAACTGGTAGGGAGAGTAGACAGATAAATCTATTCTGTGCATAAAGGACGATATGGGTTAGGGACTCACTGAAAATAATTTGCTCTGCAATTCTGTGATGCAGACCTCAGGAGAAAGAAATGAATCATCCAAGTCATGGCAGTGACTGAGAAGAAAGGTGGCTCAGGTTTGAGACTTCTAGACAGTTAAGACAGGACGAAATGTACTCTATGAGAAGGAAGGAACTCCATGTCAACATATGAACAGTAAGCCCCAGTTCTATGCTTTAAGGCAATTAACCGCTGAGCCCTCTTTTCCTTGCCTGTTAAAATGGGAATGACACTTAACTCATGATTGCTAAAAAGATAAGGAATGAGCTAAAAACTATTACTCAACACTCAAGGCTTATTCAGCATCAGAGAAGGCATACTGGTGAGAAACAAGTATGTAAATAATCTAATATAAAGTAAACACTCAGTACTGGTAGCTATTATTATGAAAGAATGTCACAGCAAAAACAGAGATAATGGGCAAATGAAATGGCTTGAAGATGTCAAAATAAAGCCAGCTAGACTACCTTAATTCTTCCCTCCACACAATCATTGGCCAAACTTAGTGTGGGTGCATCCCTAGAAATCTCTTGAAGTTGTCTTCATTTAATTATTATATTGAATCCCCTCTTTCCTAGACCACTGTAGGCATCTCCTAATGGTCTCTGCAATGTGTTCCAGCACCCTCTAATCCATTCAGCACCTGCTGTGGTATTTGGTCTCTAAACTGAAAATCTAAACTCCTTGGTAATTACCAAGAAGACTCCAATAATGAGGCTCTTGCCTACCTCTCCAACCTTGTGTTATACTACACTTCCGCTTGCTCAAGAAGCCCTAGTCCTTCAAGCACATCAAGTTCTCCCTGCCTTTGAGGGCCTTTCAACACGGATATCCCCTTTACCTGGCATACCCCCATCCTATCACAATTGTTGGCCCTAATTGCTGCTAATCATTTAAGCCTCTGCTCAAACAGCATATCTCTAGAAGGCCATAACTGATCTTCAGTCTAAATTACGATCTTCCTGTTATTAGGTCTCAGATCTTTCTATTTCTTATTAATAGCACTTATTATTTATAATATTATATAATCTGCACAGAGCCAATGAAATCGAGAAATGTTTGATATTTTCACTAATACATACGCACCTCCTGGCAAACTACCTAAAGAATTACTGAGGCAATAAATGAATTTAGATTCATTGTTCTCAAGAATACATTTTTAGAATGGGGTTTCAAGATGGATGACTAGAGGCACCCAGCATTTACCTCCTCCAAAAAGAAGGACTACAACAGTAGATAATCACACACCAAACTGAGCATCTATGACAGAACACTGGAATTCAGCAGGAAAGTAACAGGGAACCTCTGAGGCACAAAGAGGGAAGCAAAACAGCTGGCCTTACCAGGATCAGCTTGGATCCAAGAGTGTAGGGGAAAGGTAAGGGAGACCATATTCCCACTGTGGACTCCTGCAATCCTAGCCACAAAACAGCCCCTCAGCTCCCATGGGCCCCAAGACTAGTAAAGGGAGCTACCCAGTATGTACACATCACTGTTCTAGATAGGGAGTTCATGCTGGGTCCCTCCCATAAACCCAAGCACACTGCAGCACAGTGCCACTTTGGGATCCCAGACCCTAACAGACTACATCCTCCCCTGGGACTGAACAGTTCCTCCATCTCTACATCCATTGAGCTCTGCTGGCTTCCCTCCATGTCCACGTAGAGGGCTAAAGCACTGCAATGGTGATTGGAACCATCAGTGTGGCTAGGACCCCAGTACTCCAGTCCAGCACTCAGAGTCCAACACCCTGGGGAATGAGCGGTACAGCAGTCAGAGGCTGCCCTTGGGGCAGAGGGAGCTGAAGTGTGTGCTCCCCAGAGCCTGAGAGCCACCTGCCTGGGGCCACTGCCACTGACAGGAAAACCACTGCTCCCAGGCAGCTGGGTTCCTATACATCTGCAAGTGCCTTCAGAGGCCCTTAAGACTAGTGCTGGTCTGCATCAAAGGGCGTGACATCAAGCCTACCTGGCCCACCAAAGCTGCTGCCTTAGCACATCATCTGGGAATGGACCCACTTTGCCGGGTGGGTCTGGGAATGGACTCACCTTGCCGGCTATTGCTGGTGCCCACATACACCATTCCCACAATGAGGAAAGGCAGAGCCAGTCTGTGACCGGGGCCTGAGCATGCTGTCTGGGGGCATGGGAATTAACCCACCCTACCCACCACAGCTTGAATCCATGTGCACCACTGGCAGGATGAGAAGACAGGGTTGCCATGCCTGATGCTGCCCCTGCCACTGCTATATGCAATGTCCAGGGGTGTGGGGATGAATTCACTCCTCACATTGCCACCAATGCCTGCACATATCTTCTGAGGGCCTAAGTATGGGCTCATTTTGCCTGCCAGTGCCCACCATCTATTGTTTGGGAGCCCGGGGATTGACTCAGCCCATCCACCGTCACTAGCATCCATGCACCCCTGCCAGGAACCTGAAGACAGGCTGTCCCAGCCTGCTGCCACCACCAATGCAAGCACAAAATGTACAAACCACAGGGACTAGCCCATCCAGACTGCCATTGCCACTGCTGGTTCCTGCATATGTTGCTTCAAAGCCCAAACAGTTGGTCAACTACTGCTACTGTCATAATCAATGCCATACATGCCAACAAGGAGCCCAAGGACCTGCCCACCTTCCTAGCCCACTGCTACTACTGCCAGCACCTGAGCAAGCAACCTGGAGGCCCAGAGATCAACCTGTATGGAGCAGCTACCACCAGTGCTGGAATACACCATCTGAGGCCCCATGAACCAGTATGCCGAGAACATCACCAACACTACTGGGGCCTATGGACCAGCCCAGCTGGTGTCTGGTGTACCTATCCCAGAAAAGCCTCATCACAGCTTCTACTAACAACCAAACCCTAAGCCACTGAGGAACTCATAGATAATACTGACACTCATTACAGCCAAAGAAATCATATGGAGATTATACCACTGTACCCACCTAGAACAAAGCCAAAGCAACCTACCCAACCACCACTATAAATACATCTACAGAAAAAATATTTTCCTACTAAAACAAATCCATAAAATTGGAAAAAATGACCATAACAAAAAATACACAGATATCAACGTTAGGATAAAAGAAACACGAAAAAGCAGACATGACATCTCCAAAGTAACACAATAATGCTCCAGCAACAGGTTCCAACAAACAAAAAATCTATCAAGTTCCTGAAAAAGAATTCAAAATAATGATATTAAAGAAATTCAGTGGGACACAATAGAACATGGATAAATACCAAAAGAATCAGAAAAAACAATTCATGATCTGAATGAGAAATTCAGCAGATAGAGGTCATGAAAAAGAACCAAACAGAAGTACTAAAACTGAAAACTTTCAATGAATGAAATAAAAACAATTGAGAGCTTCAACAATAGACTAGATCAAGCAGAGGAAAGAATTTCTGAACTTGAAGACAGGTGTTTTGAAAGAACCCAGGAAGTCAAAAGTAAAAATTAATAAGGAATTTTTTTTTTTTTTTTTTTTTTTGAGACAGAGTTTCGCTCTTGTTACCCAGGCTGCAGGCTGGAGTGCAATGGCGCGATCTCGGCTCACCGCAACCTCCGCCTCCTGGGTTCAGGCAATTCTCCTGCCTCAGCCTCCCGAGTAGCTGGGATTACAGGCACGTGCCACCATGCTCAGCTAATTTTTTGTATTTTTAGTAGAGACGGGGTTTCACTATGTTGACCGGGATGGTCTCGATCTCTCGACCTCGTGATCCACCCGCCTCGGCCTCCCAAAGTGCTGGGATTACAGGCTTGAGCCACCGCGCCCGGCCAATAAGGAATTTTTAAAACTGAAGAAAGCTTAGGTGACAAACGGGACATCATAAAGTAACAAAGAGTGCAAATTTTGGGTGTTCTAGAAGGAGAAGAGATGGGCAAAGGCATAAAAATCTATTTATCAAAATAATAACTGAAAACTTTCCAAGTCTTGTAAGCAATATAGACATGCTGATGCAGGAGGCTCAATGATGCCCAAATAGATTCAATCCAAAAAGGTCTTCCAAGGCCCATCACAGTCAAACTGTCAAAAGTCAAAGACAGGCCGGGCGTGGTGGCTCACGCCTGTAATCCCAGCACTTTGGGAGGCCGAGGCGGGTGGATCACGAGGTCAACAGATCGAGACCATCCTGGTCAACATGGTGAAATCCTGTCTCTACTAAAAATACAAAAAATTAGCTGGG